AATCTGGTGCAAGAATCCCAGGAAAGGAAGATGGAGGTGCATCTTGAATAACCCTCATTTGTTGAGTGAAGAAAACACCACTTTCCCCATTCATCCATTCAAGTCGGCAGGAAGCTAAAAGAGCAAAGGCTAACAGAGTTGGAAAGGGGGTCCTTGGAGGTCTTCTAGTCCAACCCCTGCTCAAGTAGGAAGCCCTATACCATACCTATACTCTGTACCATTTCAGGCTAAGATTTGGGGAATCTGAGCAAAGGCAAAGAAACAAGATATGGATGATACAGAAGCGATGTAGACACTCTTTTATTTTTTTGTTTTTCTTCATCCAGAAGGAGCTGAGCCTGCCACGCCGAGGGAAGATGTAAGTAAAGGGCAACCAGCCCATTTTTTTTCTTCATAGGCTTCATTTTCATCCTCCCCTTTGGAGTTTCACTCATTTTCCATGTTGGTAGCTGAGCCTCTTGTGTAAACCGCATTGGGGTCACCTGTTTGAAGAGGGATCAACAAAGATCCAGAGAGCTTTGCTGACACCCACAAAAGCAAAACCATGTAAAAAGGAGGTGGGGTTTGATTGCAAAGCTGTGGCTGCCCTCTTAATTTTGTTGGCTCCCTTCCCTCATTATTTTGCTACTTATAAGTGGTCCTTGCTTGGAAAACCACTTATTCAGTGATTGCTCAAAGTTACGACAGCACTGAACAAGTGATAGTTATGACCAGCTCCCAAATTTCCAGCCATCACAGCGTCACCAAGGTCACATGATCACAATTATCTGGCTCACAATTATGACATTACAGCATCCCAGGATCATGTGATCAATATTTGCAACTTTCATTGGTGGCTTCTGACAAGCAGAGTATCAATGGAGAAGCTGCAAGAGGTCCCCAAGTGTGACTTCATTATGTTGCATTGAATGATGGTGCAGGATTATCTTATTGACGGCCACAGGAAGCATTGGAAGTGCTATTGCTAAGCAGCATGATCACACGACACTTTAGTAATGGAAAATTTGAATCCAATTACCATAGTTAACCAAAAATTACCTGCATTTGTTTTTCTGCCAGCTGCATCTTAATTATTTTATTTATTTATTATTAAATTTGTTTGCTGCCCATCTCACCCAAGCATTATAAGAATAGAGAAGTTCTGCTTTCTTGGGCCACATTTCTGGCACTGGCTGGTCAAATACTCTTGGGTAGCCCATAAAGAAGCCAAGAAGGGAAACCAGCCTCACGCTCTGATGCTAGATACGGAGGACGTCCAAGAACATTTTGCTATCGTGTTGTCTTCATCACTGATAAAAGTTCAATCAGTTCAGTTTATTACAGTCATAGACCAGAAACCAGAATAAAAATACAGGGTAAATATACAATTAAAAATTCTAGTACAAAATAATAAATAACAACTAAAATCTACATATGATAATATCCAGTCTGTCAATTATACATGGTCTACTGTATACATGTATACTGCACGAATCAAAAAGAGGTCTGTGAAAATATTAACAGACCCCTCACATCCTGGATATAAACTGTTTCAACTCCTTCCCTCCAAATGATTCCATAGAGCACTGCACACCGGAACAACTAGACACAAGGACAGTTTTTTCCCAGAACGTCATCACTCTGCTAAACAAATAATTCCCTCAGCACTGTCCAACTATTTACAAAGTCTGCACTACTATTACTATTAATCTTCTTATCACTCCTTATCACCCATCCCGTCCGACTTGTGACCGTATGACTATAACTTTGTCGTTTGTATCCTTATGGTTTATATTGACAGCTTCCTAGTATGATTTGATTGCTTATTGTACCCTATAACTATTATTAAGTGTTGTACCTTATGATTCTTGAACTCTTGATGAATGTATCTTTTCTTTTATGTACACTGAGAGCATTTGCACTGAAGACAAATTCCTCGTGTGTCCAATCACACTTGGCCAATAAAGAATTCTATTCTATTCTATTCTATTCTATTCTATTCTATTCTATTCTATTCTATTCTATTCTATTCCATTCCATTCCATTCCATTCCATTCCATTGCATTCCATTCCATTCCATTCTAACTATACTATAATTACAATCCATAAACTGTGTGGCCTGTTGTCAGTTTAATACTAAAAGGGAAAGGAATATTGCCACATTTGTTATATATCATAACTATGGTGGATTAGACACATGTGTTTCTGAAAAATCCCAATGCTTCTGCATGGAATCTAGCAACCTGCACTGTAGTTATGGACTGCTCATCCTTAAGCAGCTACTGAAGATAAGCAGTGTCAGAACGGAAAGTTGTTCTTTTGTTTAATGACTGGTTTGCACCACATTCTCTGGCTACAAATTAATTGATTGTGGAGTAATTGTGTTTGTAGGTATCCAATTTACTTTTAGTATTCCTATAAATGTAAGCAAGGGAAGGGTGGTGGTGGAATTGGTCACGTCCCTAGAAGAATGACAGAAACAATGGGTTGGTTTCCCAGAGCATTGAATACTCTATTGTCCCTTTGTCTTTTGTTAGAATGTTTTGGATTTTGTAAATAATGTATGGGGAATTGTCATCTGATGTTCAAATGTATTTCCTACTCGGAAGGTTATTGGACTGGATGCCAATCGTGCTGAGCATTGCATTCTTATTGAATCACAATCTTGGCTCCCCTTCTCCATTTTATTATGCAGAGCTGCTGTTTTCTTTGTAAACTGGCTTTTGACATACATCTGTGGGTGGGAGATGTGGATGACAGTATGATCTCAAAAAATACAGAGCAATCAAACGTCTCAGTCTTAGGTGTGGAAAGTACTGAATATGTTTTCCTGGGCAACTTGCTTATAATGCATATCCCAGGGAAGAGCTCCTCTGTCAAGGTACAGAGTGCTTTCTTCAACATCAGTTTTGAGCTTCTAGGTACAGGTAAGTCCTTGACTTGCAGCCATTTAATGACCGTTCATAGTGCAACGGCACTGAAAAAAGGGACTTATGGCTGGTCCTTGCACTTACGATCGTCGCAGCATCCACGCGGTTGCATGATCAAAATTTCGATGCTTGGCAACCAGCATGAATTTATGATGGTTGCAGTGCCCTGAGCTCATGTGATCACCATTTGTGATCTTCCCAGTCAGGTTCCAAGCAAACAAAGTCAATGGAGAAAGTTGGATTCATTTAATGACCGCATAATTCCCTTAACTGCAGTGATTGCTTAACACTGGCACAAAACATTGTAAAATTAAGTACAATTCACTTAACAGCCTTGCTTAGCAACAGAAATTCTGCTCCCCATTGTGGTTGTTGAGAACAACCTATGCATCCATAAAAGTCATGGCATATGAAGTATCTCTGTCCATATCTCTTTACCAGCTCGATACCCATGCCTCGCTACAAAATTATGTGGTCGGGCTTAGTTTTGGGGGAAGAAAATAAGGGGGGGGGGGAATTCTGCCTCTGCCTACCAGCATCCATCGGTATTCATCTGGCTAGCATCTTGTCAGTGTGTGAAAGAGTTGAGGGCTGTTTGGAAACTGAAGCAGTATTTGCTGTGTGAGCAAGAAGGAGACAGCAAAGAGTGTGGGTGTGGCTTAACTCAACTATTCTGTACTAAAGCTGGTTGCTGCTATGAAACTGAAACTCCTCTGCTTGTGTTTTGCATTTGGAACAGATTTCTTTTCAGGTGGGGAGGGGAAATAGAAGTCTTTAGCATCAGAGCATGTTAATAATAATATACGAAATACTAATAGTCTGATGGTCATTTTGAAAAATCCTTTCTTAGTGAGCACCTAGAAGCCAAGAGGAACATACATGCCAAATTTCAAGTTTGTAGGCTTTACGATTCTGGAGATTTTGTGGTGATGCGTGAGTGGTATTTCGCTTTTATATATATACAAGATTTCTTTTTGTAGTGACTTCAATAAACCAATCGACCTATGACCTTTCGGAAACCACCCTAAGGATCAGAAAGTACCTGTTTGAAACAGAACAGGTTTTTGTACATATGCAGGAAGTGCTTTTTAAAAATTATATTTATTGGCATTTTGAAATGGCATGACATGCCTGGTCCATGATCATAATAAAGATTGGCCTGATTTGATTAAATGGCATTAAGCTCCACTGCTGGTTATTATCATCATTTATTTGAGCTCTGCTGTGATTTTCTACCTAAAAAAGGTTCAAGGCAGTTGAGATTAGCACTCAGTCTCTTCCCTGCTACAGGTAGTCCTCGACTTACAACAGTTCATTTAGTGACTGTTCAAAGTTACAACAACACTGAATAAAGTGACTTATGACCGTTTTCACACTTACGGCTGTTGTGGCATCCCCACTGTCACCTGATCCAAATTCAGATACTCAGCAACCGACTCATATTTCTGACGGTTGGAGTATCTCAGGGTCACATGATCTACCTTTTGCGACCTTCTGACAAGCAAAGTCGAAACCAGATTCACTTAAAACAGCAGCGTTGCTAACTTAACCACTGCAGCGATTCCCTTAACAACAGTGGCAAGAAAGGTCGTAAAATGGGGCAGAACTCACTGAACAGTGGAAATTGGGGGTGGGGTTCAGTTGCGGTCGTAAGCAGAGGACTAGCTGTATGGTACCAAACCCTGGAAAAAGCATAAAAAGAGCCGGTGCCTCAACTCCTTTCTTCCCATTCCTCCAAAAAGGGTCAGCATTTCTGGTCAGCTAGAAATGACCACCAGCTGTGGAAATTTGGTATCAAAACAAGACAAAACATACCCCAGGAAAGAAGTGTAACATGCTGCTGACCTTCCTTTCCCCCATCCCAACCTCCTGCCACAGAGTCTGTTTCACCCCCTTTTAAAGTCGGGGGGCTGGTGGGTGGGTGGGGGAGAGCGGGTTGCGCGCGCGCCGAGGGCTCTTCCGCCGTCCCCCCGCTTCCCCTCCGAGGGCCGCGGGTGGGGGGGGAGGAGTGGGCGGGCAGCGGGGGAAGCCGGCGAGCAGCCTCGCCTCCTTTCTTGCGGCTGGTTCCCTCTCACTCGCTGCCCAACCGGGTTGGCGGGCAGAGAGGCGAGAGGGGCGCGCATACACCGTCGGGGCGGCGGCAGCGGCAACAACCATGCAGGCGCGCCGGGCCAAGCTGAAGATTCCCTCGCTGACCTTGGTGGAGTAAGTGAGGAGGGGCTGTGGACTGGGGAGGGGGCGGTGGCGGGGAGGGAGTGGAGGGGGGAATTTGAGACGAAGGCAGCGGGGTTGGGGTTTTTTGGGGGGAGGGGAGGGAACCAGAGGGACCGAAGCACCCGGGACAGGCGAAGGGAGACAAAGCTGCGCGTGGGTGGGTGGAGGGCGAATGAGGGTGGGCGCTTCCCCCCTTTCTCTAGGGATTCCTTTCTTCCCCGCGCGCTCCCTCCTTCGGTCCAGGGGTCTCCAATGACGCATGTTTCGGTTGCCAGGGAACCAGGTTGGAAGGCAGGGGGCGGGTTGTTCCTAAAAAGAAGCGAAGAAGAGGTTCACCTTCCTTCTCCATCGTTTCCATCCCCTCGGAAAACTGAGGTGCCCTCAGCCTCACTTCTCCCCAGGATCCCTATTATTCCATTCTTTGCCGCCTCCTTCCCCCCCCTCACCCCAATAACACATAGTTTTAACAGCAGCTGCGTGAGAGTTAGAAATGAAGCAGGTGCAAACCTGCCAGATTCCTCTCCTATCTCCATCCTGAGGGAGGTAGGAAAGACTCTACCTGTTGGACTTCCGCTTGCTTGTCCACCTTTTGAAGTGTCCACCTGCCCAGTTGAGCTGAAAGAGGAAATGGAGGAAATGTTAAAATCTTGCAAGGTTAGGGCTTGGTAGGCTTTCCTAATTTAAACAGCTATGTATCAGGAATCGGGATTTTTATTTTTTTTAGCAGCCTCATCAATACCTGGGCTGCGACACCTTCTGTTGTGATCCTTTCCTCACAAATTTTACTTGATCACAAAGAGCCAGTGGCTTCTTGCTGTTGTGGTAATCTTTGGATTTCCATAGTTTCAGAATCACACAGCTCTGGTCTTAGGATCGCCCAGCTGAAAGGGACCTCTGAGATCATCTAGATTTTAGTCTAAATCTGCCCAGGGCAGAAATTCTGACATCATCCCTGAGAAATCACTCGAAAACCTCCAGTAACTGAGCCCCCACAACTCCAGAAGGCAGGATGATTCAACGCCCAATAACTGTCATTCCTCCTTATTTCAAGTGGGGATCCACTGTTTGGATCTAGCGTAAAGCTTCTGGCAAAGATTCTTATCCTGCCTTCAGGAGCTGTGGACACCTTCCCTTGACAGCTATATATTCATATAGTTCATGTCTCCCTTTCTTGAGGCTAAACCCACCCTCTGGATTCAACTTTCAAAGAATTAAGAGAGCTGAGTATGTTTAGCCTCAAATCTTTTTGTGATGGGATTTAATAAGAGGGGTGAAGGAATTCAACACAGCATCATTTCAGGCTGGATAAATAAAATTGAGAACAGGGTTCAGGGTTCAAATTGTAAAGCTTGGCAAAGGGTAACCCAATTTCCCTACTAGTTGGGAATGCCCTAGCATCTTTCAAGGCAGATCCTTAAGAAAGAATAGATGGCTGAATTTAAAGAGCCAGTTTGGTGTAGTGGTTAAGGCACTGGGCCAGAAACTGGGTCACCATGACTGTCTAGTCATGATTCTTAGTCCTCCAGGTCATGGTGGTCCCAAAGGTGCTTTTTTCAAGAAGCAACTTGACTTTCTGGTTTTTCTTCTCATCCAAGAAGATTCTTCAGCTCTGAGCATCTTGTATGAGAAGGGAAACGTCTTCAAAGAAAAATCAGAAAGTCCAGTTGCCTTTTGAAAAAAGCACCTTTGGGACATGACCTGGATGACTGAGAATCTCCATAGACAGCCATAGTCTCCCAGTTTCTGGCCCGATGCCTTAACCACTACACCAAATTGTCTGTCTATGTTCAGACAATTTCTTAAGGATCTGCCTTGAAAGATGCTAGTGCATTCCCAACTAGTAGGAAAATTGGGTTACCCTTTGCCAAGCTTTTTTTTTTTTTTTTAAAGCACCTTTGGGAGACCATTAGTTCTAATCCCACCTTAGGCACAAACCCAGCTGAATGACACCCTGGGCCAGTCATTTTCTCTCAACCCTAGGAAAGAGACAATAGCAAACTTCTGAAAAAACGTGCCAAGAAAACTACAGGGAAACTTATCCAGGTAATCTCCAAGAACTGGAGATGAATATGGTCAGCTACAGATCCTTTTCTGGCTAGTCTTACCCAGACTAGTATAGCTTCTGAATGATGTCAGCTAGTTCAGGAAAAAAGGAAAGCTGATCTGCCATGCCCCCTTCCTTGTGCTCCTGAATGCGAAATATTGCCTTCAAGAGTGGTAGGAAGATCATTAGAACTTGAAGGAAGGAAGGAAGCAGATGCTATAAGTGGATTATAGAAATGGGAGATGGCACCACCTTGTCCACTGATCAACCTGCTCGGGGGCTGGCCTTGTTGCTTAGAGCTTGAGAAAGAATTGGGGGGGATGACACCAAAAGGGCCCTGCCCCTGTCAGAGGAGGGTCACTGCTAGGAGACCTCTTCACATTATTCACCCACCCTTCCTTTGGTTGCCTCTCTTCCTTTGCAGCTTGTCACCCGGTAGCCAGAGCCCGACCCTTCTCAGCCCCTGCAGTCCTTGTAGCCCTTTGACTCTGCATCCCTGGAGGTAAGAGAGGTGGTGCTTGTGGAGGTGGGGAGGGCCTCTGACCCTTTGGAGTCTCAGAAGAAACCTTCATTGGGAGAGGTAAATGGTGGAACCAGTTTCCCCCCAAGCCACCTGCATGTACATTGGGCTCGCCTGAGAGGCACATTCTGTTGCTGCTCTCACGTTCATGGCCAAGTTCTCCTCTGGTTGCATTGCTAAAAAGATTAATGAATAACATTGCTGCATAGCATTATCTCTGACGTTTGGGGGGGGGAGGGGCTGTTGGCAAGCAGCAGAAACAGCAGGGAAAGGTGATGGGGCAACAGCAGTGGGAGGGGAAAGGGAAACATTGTTTACTGAGCTGTTGGACTAGGGTTGTTGTGTTAATTAAGCCATGATCTGATTCTGCCCGTTCAGCTGTTTTTATCTTTATGAACTTAAAAATGCATTCTGGATTGGGTTTGTTCCTTATTTCCTGCCTAAGAAATACATTTTTCCCCCATCTCATTTTAATTAAGCAACAGGGTTATGCTTTGTATGATGGGTAGCAGGAAATGAGATTTCTCTTTGACAGCCTGAACTAGAAAGAAAGCAAACTCTTGCAAAAGGAAGGTCTCTATTGCGTTTTTTTGGTGTTCTCTGCAAATGTTACTTAGCTCATAACTGAAATGTCTTCAGGAAAACAACCAGGCTCAGAGCATATGAAGAACCCAAAAGTGTAATCCATAGCTACATATATTTTCTGCAATTGGAAGTTTTCTACAAAAAGTAGCAGGGGCTATTCTGAATCTGTTATGGGCAGCCTGACCACTGTTCTCTTACAAGAGTGTTTAAGCTATTTCGCTTTTTCTGAGTACAGAGTTGGTTTCCTTTGGGAAGAAGGCAGCAGAATATGTTGAAATATATTTGCATGTATTTAGAAATATATAGATTAATCATAGGCATATGTATACAGATAAAATCCACAAATCCACATTAGATTTCCAGAGAGGCAAACAACCTCCCCAAATGCTTTTTATCTACTGAATTTTAAAAATGCTAGCTACATTTTATTGTTCTTTCTATATACAGAAATCTGCATCTCCGTCCTCTTAATGGTCTAAGTTGTAAGGCCTGGATTAATAGGGGAACTTATCAAATTTGCAGATGATACTAAGCTGGCAGGAATAGCTAACACCCAAGAAGATAGGCTCAAGATCCAGATGGATCTTGACAGACTAGAACACTGGGCCATATTTAACAAAATGAAATTCAGTGTAGAGAAAAGTAAAGTCCTACACTTAGGCAAGAAAAACCAAAAGTACACATATGGACTGGGTGAAACCAGGCTCAATAGCAGTAACTGTGAGAGAGATCTTGGAGTCTTAGTGGACAACCAGCTAAATATAAGCCAGCAGTGTGCAGCAGCAGTCAAAAAAGCAAATGCAATCCTAAATTGCATTAACAGAGGATACAATCAAGATAAAGTGAGATACTAATACGACCCTATAAAGTCTTAGTAAGACCACACCTACTGCATCCAACTTTGGTCACCACATTATAAAAAATGTGGTGAGACTGTAGAAAAAGTACAGAGAAGAGCAACCAGGATGATTAGGGGACTGGAGACTAAAACATATGAAGAACGGTTACAGGAACTGGGCATGGCTAGTCTAGTGAAGAGAAGGACCAGGGGAGACATGATAGCAGTCTTCCAATATTTATGGGGCTGCCACAGGGAGGAAGGGGTCAAGCTATTTTCTAAAGCGCCTATAGGCCAGACAAGGAATAATGGATGGAAACTGGAGAAGGAGAGATTTAACCTGGGAATAAGGAGAAACTTTCTGACAGTGAGAACAATTAACTAATGGAACAGCTTGCCCTCAGAAGTTGTGGGAGCATCATCACTTGAGACTTTGAAGAAGAGATTGGACTGCCATTTGTCAGAAATGGTGTAGGGTCTCCTGCTTGGGCAGGGGGTTGGACTAGATGATCTACCAGGTCCCTTCCAACTCTGATTTTCTGTTATCTGTAATAGAGTGAATTTACTTTTGTTTACTCTCCACACATATTGGTCATAACAGTTGTGGGTTATTTGGTCAAGTTAATGTGATCAATTATCTCTGTAATATTATGAATAATGATGGAGGCATTGCATTGGGGAATCATGAAATGTTTGCCAATGGGGATGGAAATCTGTTTTTTTTCCTGTGACATTTTAGTTAGTAGTAACAGGAAGAGGAAGTCTTTATCTTGTTATTTTTGTAGAAACAGCACAGTGCTATTGATAGGTTCACTAAAATCCTTTTATTTTGGATTTTGGGATTACTCAATAGCAATCTGGAGGAAAAGTGAGGGGAAAAGGCTTAAATACATTTGAGAGCTCTAAATAATAGGTGTATCAATCGTTGCTCTGACTTACTCATTGACCAGTCAACACTGAAAGCTGGGAGCAGATGGTTTCTCACCAAATAATTGGACAAAAGACTACCTGTCATTTCCCTGCTAACTTATAATTGATAAGAGATAATGATTTATTGTTTGTTTTTTAAATAAGAAAGCTAGCGTAATTATCTATTATTTGCAAAGGCAACGTCTGCTTGCCTCCCTCACTGTTTGCTTACACAGGTTGTTCATTAAAATGTATTTTATATTGATTGTGGAATTCAGCTGTTCCAGATACAGAATTACATGAGCACAGAATTTTGATATGAGGAACGGGACAACAAATAATTTCCATTTAATTCTTTGGCAATATATTCTTATATTTTGTTTTGTAGAATATACTTGTTTTATATTTTATTTATAGATCATGGAGGTACTTCACGAAAATCTTCTTTTCAAGGAAATTGTTTCTTTGTTACAAATGTATTTATTAGAGAGCCAGATAAGTGCAGTGGTTAATGTAGCGGGCTAGAAACTAGGAGACCATGAGTTCTAGTCCTAATTTAGGCACAAAGCATAAATTAGCAGCCATTCACTGTTAGCCCTACAAGACTTGTTTCGAAAAATGTTGCCAAAAAAACCTGTTCATGTAATCCATAAAAGTGAGGACGGACTTAAAGGCACAGAGAAAAACAATTATTGATTAATAATACTGTACCGCAGGGGTCCCCAATTTTTCTGGGTTAGCAAACTAGTGGAGGTGGTGGGTGGCAGCAGTGTGTGTGGGGGGAGAGAGTTGGTTTCATGCGCATGCTTTCATGCACCTACCACTTCCATAGCCGAGTTCTAATAGCAATAGCACTTAGACTTACATACCGCTTTATAGTGCTTCCCAGCTGTCTCTAAGCGGTTTTACAGAGTCAGCATATTGCCCCCAACAATTTGGGTCCTCATTTTACCCACCTCGGAAGGATGGAAGGCTGAGTCAACCTTGATCCTGGTGGGATTTGAACTGCCAAATTGTAGGCAGCCAATAGTTAGCAGAAGTGGCCTGCAGTACAGCACTCTAACCACTGCGCTACCAAGGCTCTTTACAGGCTGCAGCCCGGCACCATGCTGTGGATCAGGGGTTGGAGACTTCTGATGTACTGCATCAATTGCTCAGAGTTTAAGACACTGGGCTTGTCAGCTTGAAAAGTTGACAGGACAGGTTCGAGACCCGAGCACCATGCAGTGGGGTGAGCTCCCATCCTCCCCGCAGCTCCTGCTAACCTAGCAGTTTGAAAGCGTGCAACACAAATAGATAAATAGGTTTCATTTCAGAGGGAAGATAACAGTGTTCCATGATGTCATCCTGGCCACATGACAGCAGAAACATCTTCGGACAGCATTGATTCAATGGCCTTGAAACGGAGATGAGTGCTCTCCCCTCTAGTCATCAAAGACTAGTGGAGTAAAATCCACAGGGATTCCTTTACCTTTACCATATCAGTTACTACAGAACATAAATAGCGTAAAACATTAAGTTCCCTTATTGCAGATGAATTTGAATTCTGAACATGGACTGAACTCCAGAAAGATTCGCTTGAATGATTTCCTTTTCCTGAGTGGTAGATGCGATGTGGACTCATGAGCTAGGGCAGGAGTCTCAAACGGGCGGCCCAAAGGCCAGGTGCTTCATGCGTAGGCCATGCCCACCCAGCTCCATGAAGGGAAAAAATGTTGCAGTATGTCACATGACAGCAATGTAATACCACAAGTTTGACACCCGTGAGCTAGAGGGTTATTTTGCAGTTTTGTCTGATGTGGATTCTTTTAGACAGATTCCTGCACACACACTTTTTGCAGGATTTTAGAAGAGGCTGCTGAGACCTTGATCTTTTCCCAACAGTTGTCCCTGTGTGAACCTGCCTGCCTCATATTATTTAATGACCCTATAAAGTGTAGATCAAAATAAGGGAGTCCATCTGATACCTAGGTTCTAGGAACCTAGGTGTGCTCCTGAGCAGATCTGAGGAGGCATGGTCAGCTATGGTCAGAAACTCCAGGGCCCTTGTTATCTCTATGGAGCCCTTTCAAGTGAAAAGGAGATCTCTAAGGAAAGGTATTTTCAGAAAACGGAACATTTAGAACTGTGCTTCTGGCCACTGAACACCTGCAAGAAATTCTAGGTTCTTCCATGTACATCTAACATGCCTCTATAGCCCTACAATCTCAGAACTTGCATAAGAGTTTTGGAAAATAGAGCCGACTGCTATCAACTCTTTTGGAGGAGAAAAAGCAAAGATATTTTTGCACCACAGTGTTTCCTCTGAAGATTTACAGCAGGCAGCTTCCCATTAGAATTTCCACTTCATCCTATATCCTGTCTGCCTCTCTCTGATAACCAAGGGAGGATGGCAACTTGCCACCTTCATGCCCCTCCCGCACCATTTTTTTCAAATTGCCCTGAAGAACTGCCTTGTCCAACAGTATCTGATTGAACTTTCCCCCTTTTATTGTCTTTGCTGCAAAAAGAGAATGTGTAGGAGAAGAATAAAAGTGGGGGTGAAGTGCTGGCATTAATCTTTGGAATGGAACATTGGCTCACTCCATGAACATAATATTGGCAACACTAGCACGATGGTGTCAATCTATAGGTGAAACTCAAAAAATCA